ATTATTCGAAGCGCAATAACGTACCGGATTTATTTTTTATAATCGCGAATATAGAGGCAACGGAGATACGCGAGAGGCAAAGCGACGAAGTGAAAGGGGAGGGGAAAGACGTATTAGCGGGTGGAAGAGGGGACGGGCCCGCTATTTTAACACGGCGTTATTAACTCAATTACGGTCGCTCCCAATTAGCAGTCACGCGCACGAGCCGGCTTCGCAATAATTACTCGGCCATTAACGTCGGTGTCCCACGAGAGGGCCCCGATGCACGTCGCATCATTTTCCTGTCCCACTACGGGGGACCTGCGGAAAGAAGCCTAGGAACTTGAGGATTGCTAGAAACTCGCGCCAATTTTCTCAACGTTTACCGTTAACGCAGCAATATTTTGTATCGCACAATACGGAGTAGCGCGCACGAAATCGGCCACACCCGAGTCGAAATGTTCGCTCTATGTTGAACCTTTAATTCTATTATATAGTAGGATCTGAGACAGTAAAAGAGGTCGAACTGCAAGTAGAAAATTTACTTCTACTTAAAAACTAATAGCGTCGGGAATTTCTACTTTTGCCAATTTAGCATTAAAGTAGGTCCTTTTAAGGAGCTAAAGCAAACTTTTAATTAAAGATTCAAGGGAGGAGTGAAAAAATATAATGTCACCAAAGTAGGTTATTGCTGATCTATGTAGGTGCATAGATCAGCTAAGTAAGTGTAAATTATCCTGAAGTGTCAAAATTGTGACTCGGGCAAACGCAACGTACGGTAAAAATGATAAATGAAAATGCCGATACATTGTTATACAAATAGTTAAAATTTAAACCTCCCTGAGTTAAAAATGTAACTGCAGTTACAGTCAGTATATTATCGAAGGAACCCGCAAGAACTGTATTTTGCATTTGCAGCCGGTTTTATGCGCCATCCTGTATAAGAATGTTCAAGAGATTTTGTATGAAATACGATCGAGTTGAAACAAGATCAGCAGGTTTGTTACAGAATTAAATTTTTTCTAATTATTAAAAATTCTGAATAAAAGTATTGTCGTTATCTTCCTCGATATTTTTCCAAGTCAATTGGTTTTTGAAGGCAAAATCGATGGGAATTTTTCGACGTGGAATCCTTCCTCGAGACGATTTCGGAGAGAAAAATCGAGAACGTCGCGCGAACTTACTGTCGAATTGTTCTCGCGAGAGAGCGAGCGATTTCCTCAAAACGAAATCAATAGGTTCGCAGAGCGAGAACATCGTGAAACGGGGTACCGGCGAAAGGAAGGGACAGAAGGAGAAAAAGAGGTAGCCGGTCCGACGAGTCGCGCCGGCCACGTGAAAGTGGGTTCCAACTTTCGTGATCGAGCCACGTGATCGCAAGATCGCATGCCCGCCGCGACAAGGGCGAAGGGGGCGGCGAAAAGGATCCAGACGGACTCACGGGATCTCGTCTGGCCTCGATTGTTTCGCGAAGCGGCGCGAGAAAAGAACGGAGACGGGACATCGGCGGGAGGTTGCTGATCCGCGGGAAAACCGAGCCGAGGACATCGCTCGCGCACTTTTCCCGCACTTGGCGGGATTTATTATACACAATAGTAGGACCTTGCTTCGAATAAATACATGTTTACAAGTCCATGGCGGACATTTTGAACATTTTATAAATTGAATAAATAAACAATGTGTTGTGATATTGATTTTCTGTGGCTTCGAAGCTTTACACCGTCATATCTTAAAAACATCTAAGACAGAAACAGAAAGACCTAAGACAGTAAAAGAGGTCCAACTGCAAGTACAAAATTTACTCCTGCTTAAAAACTGATAGCGTCGGAAATTTCTACTTTTGCCAATTTAGCATTAAAGTGGGTCCTTTTAAGTAGGAGCTAAAGTAAATTTTTAGAATCAAGGATTCAAGGGAGGAGTAAAAAATAGAATGTCATCAAAGTAGGTTTCGCTGGTCTATGTAGGTGTATAGATCAGCTAAGTAGGTGTAAATTGTCCTTAAAAGTGTCAAAATAATTTCGACTCGGGAAGTCGCGCGGAGATGTTCACGGAGTAGAAAAAAAATTTGTCTTCGACAGTCCTCCCTTTATTTCAGTACCGCGCGACGTCCTTTCTTCAAATCGCGATTCGAATGCGACTTGAATATCGCCGACAATCGTTACATTAGGAAAATCAAGGAATTGAAGCGCTAATGCGTTCCAATTAGAATTTCACGCGGCAGAATTATAGTATAAACGGAATAAACGTGTACATTATGAAATAAATGAATAAGTTTAATTAATTAATGCCGAAATAAATTAGTTGCAGCATGCCGGATCGCTGCACACGGCAGATAAAAGTACGCGCACGATCCGGAAGCTGCGATGGACAACGGTGTCGGGGATCGGTCGCCCCGTTAAAGGGCGAGGGCCGGCTGCGGAGGGCTAATTATACAAACGCGCGAAATCCGCGTAATCGCGATAGTCACATCTGTCATGTCAGCCGTCGAGTGCGTGCGTGCCTCACGCCGCGAGGCCCGTTAGAATCGAAAGGTCAGCTGACAGGCTTGGGGCGACTGAACGCGTCGCGTTATCAGGTAAGCAAAAAACTGCATACTGCTTTCGACGGCAAAAGATATAAACAGAATTTAGAGTCGCGCCGATCGACCGAATTTCTCGGATACGCGCCAACTTCCCCGTTCACCTCGCTCTCTCGCGATTCTTATTCTACATTCACGGAGATTCTTGCAGGCCTTCCGGTAACTTGATAAATTCCATCGCATTCCGGCAAATATTATTAAGAGGATGCAATAATATTCTGGTAGAGTTAATCTATGAGACTTTAATGCTGGAAACCTTTACGGCAGCCCGCACTTTTGGCCGGACAAAAATCACCTCCGAACGCAACGAAGATGACCATTGTAATGATATCAACGGTATTATCTATCTATCTATCTATTAAGTATCAATCTATCTATTTATCAAGCTATCTATCTATTTAGTATCAACATTAGAAAACAATGTGTTTCAAAAAATCAAGTTATAAGCAATCTATCAATATCGTGTTGTAAAAATTTAGATCTCTTTGACACAGAGATTTTCCATTAATTTATCATTGCAACTGTCTTGTGAATATGTGATAGTTTAACAATGAGTTTATAAATTGATTGCTATCTAATTATTATCAACATTAGAAAACAATGTGTTTCAAAAAATCAAGTTATAAGCAATCTATCAATATCAAGTTGTAAAACATCTAGATCTCTTTGACATAGAGATTTTCCATTAATTTATAATTGCCACGGACTTTCTTGTAAATATGTGAAGCAAGATTTCCTTTGCGGTATTATCTTTTTTTATTTCTTTCATTAACGTAACACTTTGTTGAATTCTCTCAGATTAAAATAAGAAAAGCGTAGCTTTACATTAAACGAGATTCGTATAAGGTTCGAGATACCGACGAGAAACAATTAACTGACAAACAATAAAAAGCTAAATATTTCGTAATAAAAAAAATTTGCTCAGCATCCCCGAAACAATTCCGTCCTTTACCTAATCCCTTGCCTCTTCGACTCCGAAAGATATACGTCGAATGAACCGTTTTGTCGCGAGAAACTCGTTCTCCTTCGGCGTCGTGAATTAATTTATTCGGTCGTTGATTTATCCTCGAAGGAATTTATTGCTTCCATCGGTAGAGAAGGAAAGGAAGAGGGAAAAGAGAGAAAGACAGAGAGAGAGAGAGAGAGAGAAACGGCGATTTTTTTAGTTCGACCACAAAGCTAAGCGCGTTTCCTCGATAACAGTATCTCGAATTTCGCAAATTTTCCATCGAACTCGAACACACTTACTTCTATCTTCGCTAAAATCCATTTCCAGATTGAAAGTTTCAGTATTTAACTAATGTCAAACCAAAAATAACAGACAGTCAACGATTCTGTCAACAGTTCTTTTTTCAACACAATCTACTTCGCGTCAAAAATAATCTCGACAGACAACCGTCTCGTAAAAGGCTCGGTTTTTCGTTCTCTGGTCAACCGTTAACCATAGGTTATTCGATTCTCTGTCTCCTCCCAGATAATAATACAGAAAAAGCTGGAGACCAACCCCACACACGTAATTGCAACATTCAATTGTCTACCTACGAGTACAATTAAAAATCATAATCCAACGTTAGTCGTAATTTGTCCCCTCGCGAGAGATCATCGGTTCGATTCATAATTTATCATATTTATCTTCTCGCCGCCACCGAACGCGAGATCCCGAGGCGCCCCGCGGTTTTGAAAACGGTCTCGCGCGCGCACGCGCAAAGGAGACGCACTCCGGTCGTTTAAACCGCCAGCACACCGGGCCATCTTCCGTACGGAACTCAAGTTCGAGCGGACGAAATTCGAATCGACGCGCGATCACGGCTGCGGTCGGGCCTGTCGCTTCAAGCGTTACGAACTGTCCTTCTTCTCCCTTTTCTTCGGGGCTGTCGTCGGAATGTCTCGTCGCCAAGTCGCGCGCGATAAACGGAACCCGCGCGATGACGAGCGATGGCGGCGACACGCGGGATCCTCCGGCCCCGAGGAAAAAGCACGCTGTCAAAACACACACGGCGTGGCGCGCGGGGCGAGGCATGGCAAGACGGACCGGACACCGCGCCAGGCATGGCACGTGTCGCCGAGAGAAGCGGTGCGAGAACAATTAAGGGCCGAGTTCACAAACGTCGGTCAACACCAACGGCTAACTGATTTCGCCTTTTACTTACAATTAGATAACAATACAGAAAAAAGGTAACCTGACTACCTGGTATAGATATACCTGATTTAACAGGTAAAATAGTTAACCGACACGTGTGAAATTGGCCTAATGCCCGTTTCTATCACAACGCAGATTAACTTTAATCTCGGCATAAATTACCGGTCTTTTCCCACCTCGTAAAACTGAAGAAAGATACAAAGTAAGTCGAGCCGAGATTAAAAATTAAACTGCGCCGGTAGAAAAAACGGGTATAAGCCGGCGGCGGGTGAAAAGCACATATTCAGGAGGGGGGGGACTCACGTTTCAGCGGTTTGGGGTTGCTCTGCTTGCGACGTGACATCCTCTGCGCTCTGCCATCACCCGCTCAGCGTGGACATGTTGCGTCGCGTGGGTGCAGCGTGGTAGGCGATGATCACAGGCGAGAGACGGACGGACGGGACGGTGAAACAGATCGCGGACACAGCACACGTGTACGATAGCGTGCGAAGGGATCAAAGGAGACGTAGGAGAGGATGGCGACAGAGAGAGAGAGAGTAGAGCAGCGAGAAGCCGACGGACAGATCAGCAGCGACGGGACGGGACAGAGCACGAAGAAACGCACTTCCCCGGCGACGCGAGGGGACTTCCGGCCGTGGCGCGATACGATTTCGCGATACGTGACGCGAAGCCCGTGACGTGCGGCGACGGCAACGACGACGGACGCCGGCGGCGCGGCGCTTCCGGTAGACGCGAACGCACACGCCGGATCACGTTCAAACGCGGCCGCTGTCAGCGCGCAACTAAACAAACGCCGAACGCGCCGTCAAACACTGCCCCCCCACTCCCCGGTCGCGCCGCTACGGCGTGACCGCGTGAGCGCGCTGGTAGACTCCGGACGGCCCCGGCGCGGCAAACTTTGAATCGTCGCGCGCGCGCGCGCGAAACGGCGCGACCTGCGTGGGTGTCGCGCCGCGATCAAAATTCGCACCGTACCGCCATCTCGGGGGAGCATCGCGAAAGGAAGAGATGTTAGTTCGCGAAGAAACGGACGGTAAGTTACCAACGCGCGCGCGCGACGCGTCAGGATCCTTTTCTCTAGCGCGAGCGCGTGAAAAGCGAAACGTTTCATTGACGAGTTGAATATTTGCAGGGTTGGGACTCGTTAAGCATCAGACTGCGGATTGAAATCGCGATCAGATCGAAATTTGACCAGTCAGAGTATAGTTTACTAATCTCGAGTTTAGTTAACGTTCAACACGCTCATGCGTTAATTTAGTGAAAATAACTGAAAAGAAATGTTAAAGCAGCACAATGTGTACTTATTTTTTAATCTTACACGATGCATCTATAAAATAAAGCAGTAGATCTCTTGAATTCTCTCTTTCAATTAAATATTATTCAACAATTTTTCCCTTTTTGCACTTTTAGTGAAATATTAAGACAAATTTGAATTTTTCCTTTTATATCTACAACAACATTGCACGTAAAATATACGTAAACTTGTCCCTCGGTTCGCGACAAATACTCCGCGTAACTCGAGAAACGAGCGTACGCACGCATACGCGCGCGTGCGTGATTGCGCGCTTCTTCCTCATGAAGAACAAAAAGACGATGCGACGCGCAACATCGCCGAGCCGTCGCGAATAAAGTAAACGAGCAATTAGCCGCGGGAATATAACGGACGAATTGACTCACCGATCGACACGACGCTCTTGCCCGCCTGACGCCATTGCCGAGTGGAACGCTCGTTTTCGTCGACGCTCGTTTCAGCGGCCGCACCGGGGCGAAACGCGGAAATCCGAGTCTCGCAGTACCAATTGATACGATGTGACGCTCGGCCGTCACTTCCCACGGCACTTTCGACGCGTTTGTCGCACGTGCGACACGTTCCGGGCGGGAAAATAAGGCGGAGTCCAACGCGCGACGTCCCCGGCTTTCGTTACGATGTACGCTGTGACGTTGGTCGCGTTCGAACCGACGCGCCGGCAACTTCGCGCCACCTCGCCCCGCGGCGCGAGATACGAACTCAAGTGCGCGCAGTACATTTCTGTATAACGCGAGTTTGCCTAACGCGACGGAGAAAGCGCGGCAATGACCGTATAACACGATGACAGGGGACGGATGACTTCGATCGAGTTAATTATTTAAAAAGAGAAAGTAAGAAAGAAGCGCGGAACAACATGTCAGGACTTACGTACGTGTATCTTGCCTTTCGCGGCGCAAAGTTGGGACAAATATTTATAAAACCAGAATTATTATTCTAGTGCACTAATCCCTTGACAGCTGAGGGCTTGAGACTCGGTTCTATTAGGCTTTCATATAGAGCTAGCCCGATCTACCTCCAAGTCTACCTGCACGGCCTATCTTTTGTCGCTGACCCCTTCGTCGCGTTTTCTCGCTCTTTCTCTCTCTCTCTTCCTCTCTAATATAAGGGGCTGCGGGGCTGCTGTTAAATTAATAGGCATCATCTGTTTAGTCCACCGTGAATCTATTGCCTTCGGAGCGAAATTTATTTAGTAGAAAATTCTTTGTAGATTGTGTAATCGTCGCGAAAAAGATTTGTGACTGAATCTGGACGTTGAAAACCTGCTATCTCATATTAGAATCTCATATAAAATCTATCTCATAATGGAGGACTGTCCTCTATAGATTTTGCATCTCTCTCTCTCTCTCTTTCTCTCTCTCTCTCTCGATTCTTTCGAGTACCACCTTCCCCGTCTCTTCTTTCGTGCGGGCGATACGCGTTAAATACATGTAATAAAACATGTCGTTTCTTCATCGTTCGTCGTTGAAAAGTTGAACGCTACGACGAAATTTTAACGAAAGTTTTATACTACAAGACTTTTCGGAACTTTCCCACATGGTTTACTCTATGTGCCCGTTCTCTATCCTTCGGCAAACCTTCCAAGCCTAAATCTGTACCCTCGTACCAACCATTCTATACAATCCGGATTTTTAATCCCGGTCTAACTTAATGGTTTCCTATTTTCTGCCGTGCTTCACAACGAACGGTATCATGGGCGTATCCAGACTTTTGTCTAGGGGGGGGGGGGGCAGAACAGGATTCACCTGTAGGCGAATTATGTAGCATAAATTAAACTACGTACTTATACAAAATCTTTTTTATTTATATAAAAATTAATTTTCTGGAGTCCTCGGCAAATCTAATAATTATGTTATTCGTAATCGCAATGGGGATCCCATTGAGTCTAGGGGGGGCAGCTGCCCCCCCTGCCCCCCCCTGGATACGCCCATGATCTCTTTGGCATAGGTCAGAGTTCTTAATGAATATTCGATTATCATTGAAGGTATTTGTCTACGGCTTGCCGTGTAAAGAATTGGATAACGGAAAATGTGTGGTCCGTCGATACGCGAGCTTACAAGGATATACAAACTGTGCGTAGAATGCATCGTGCGATGCGATTGAAACTTTGCGAGAGCGACAATGGGGAGATCGACGAGGCCAGTAAAATTCAAAAGCCATGGTGTCCGAATATAGAGACAATTTTAAAAGATTTTTCTTCTTGCCCGACCATAAAAAATATATGTCTAGATATTCCGATCTTTGGTAAAGGATTGAATCAGAGCGATATGGCAGCCATTCAATTCTCTTTCGTCGGGATAATTCTGCTGTACCCCCACGAACTCGGTATTCATGCTAATGAGGAAGATTTAGAAGCGTTTTGTCACGTATGGAGAAGTATAGGATATCTTCTTGGCATAGAGGATCAGTAAGTACCGTATATATATAAATTCACACATCATCGTGTGCGACGAAAATAGTATATAGGAAAGTCTCCTATTATGAGGTAGGTTCATAATATGAGATAGCCGAGTTTCTGCTAAATTAATAGGCGCCATGGCTCCAGCATGGATTTATTGCCCTTGGAGTGAA